AGACAACGAATGAAATCTAAACTTAACCCCTTGCATGATTTCTCTTCAATGCCAGTTTGGTTGGCAGAAAAACTATAATCTATATAAGCTCATTATGATTAAAACATCGTTGTAAAGGAATTATCATTATTGCATTTGTAGGCAGTCACAACTTTTTGTGGCCCCTTTCAACAGCTGCAAGCTTTCCAACTAATCTGATTGATTATTCGCGGAAATTTCCTTCATCATTATCATATACATACATTTACAACTCCTGCTATAATTATATAATTAGAGGAGAGTTAGCACAAAGTATGAGAAACAACTCAGAGATGTCATGAGGTCACTCAAGGCATGATCAAGAGGAATAGTTTGGTTAATGTTTGATGTGTAAGAGGGTATGTGCATAGGTGAAGATTGAAATTGGAAGAAAAAATGAGGAGGGCATGTAGGAAAATATGGCGATCAGTGCCATGAACAAGCAGAAAAAGCTTGCGAACTGAGTCTAGGAAGGATATGGAGGAGATTCTGAGGGCTAAGCTTTCAACTATTAAGGAAGAGCCAGAATTGTGTGAGGAGAATTTGACATCACCGATGCATGTGCGTATGGCAAAGAAGCAGGTGAAGAAGGTACAAGCAAAAGATAAATCAGTACGTTGTTTAGCACCTCATGTCAAACTGAAACACTCTTATGTTCTATTCATTACAGGGTTTGCCTCAAAAGGCACCTTTGCTGGTTAGCTTCAATGCTAATCTCAATCTTCTCACTCTGTTCCAATAACAACATATATAAGTCCTCTTCTTCGCTAAGTCCAGAATGCAAGGTGCCAATATTTCAGTTTATGATGTGATTTTTTGTACTTCTCAACTATTTTTAACTGTTTTATGTGTGATGTATGTACAGTTCATTTTCTTCACATAATGTAAAATTACTGAATTTTAATTTTACTTTTTAATTTATTCTAGGAAAACATCATTAGAAAGTCCTCGACACATAGCATAAAAGTTAAAAATGTCTGACTAGTGGATGGAAACAGGGTCACTACCAAGCATAATAATGCAGAGCAAAAATGTTGATTATGTCAAAAGGAATAAGAAAATGTTCACTTCTCTATCAAAAAGGATGACACTTCTACAAGCACATTGTTATGAATCACTTGGATTGTTTAAAAATAGGTTTAATCATATATTTAGTCTCCAAATTTTGAGATTTCTAAATTATTCCTTTAACACAATTTAATGAGCCAAAGATATTTTTAAACCTTAAATCTTCAAATTTTATTTCATTACACTATTAAATACTTAGTTCCTTGAAGCCCATTGAGAAGTCTTGATGACCGTACACGTGTTCAGTTTTGGTTGGACGAAAATCTAACAGTGGGCGGAGAACGCCTTTGACTCCTCACCTCATTCCCTCCCCCTCGCGTTATTCTGTTCCTCTGTCTGTGAGTGAGTGCAGGACACTTTAAAATGATAAAATAGGTAAAACATTAGTTCTAAAAAAAAAGTTTATATTAGTATTTTTTATTACATTAATTATAAAATTATGTTTAAGAAAAAAATTTCAAATTTAACTTTTGTATTAATATATCTCTATTAAATTAATTATAAAATTATGTTTAAAAAAGATTTAAAATATTTTTAATACTAATATACTTCTATTAACTTAATTATAATTTTACGTTTAAAAAAATTCTAAAAATTTATTTTAGTATTAATATATCTCTATTAAATTGATTATAACTTTATGATTGAGAGTAAAATTTAATTAAATTATTATCAATATTTGTTAATTTTTATTGATATTAAAAATTATATTTAATGAATTGATTTTAGTTTATAAAATAATATTAACAATTTTGATTGCTTTACTCTAATAGAGTTTATCAAAAGTTAAAAATAATAAAAACTTATTTATGATTAATAATGTGTCAAAAAATATTTAATAAATTAGTGTGTGAAAAAAAATATTAATCAAATATTTACGTAGATAATTTTACATAAAAAAAATTAAAAAATAAATTTTAAATAAAAGACATTATTCTTAAGTTTATTTTAGGTTTTCAAAACTCTTCAATAGTTTTTTTAGTGTTAGGTTACCTTTAAGAAGAAGAAGAAAACTATTATATTTTTCTTTTTTTTCGATTCTTAATATTAGATTAGACAAATCTAATAATATACTATATTACTATGTTCATATACTAATTTGTAGTTTTAATATATCTAACAATATCTTCTATGAGTGTTGGATTGAGTCACCTCTAAAAAGAAAAAACAAAGATAATACTTTTCGTTTTTTCCAATTCTTATAACATTAAATTAAATAAATCTAACAATACATGTAATATTATTATGTCCATACACTTATTTGTATTTTTAATAAGTCTATTTTACATGTATACTATAATCCTTTATTTTTTGAGAGTTTTCTCTTTATTTCTGTACATACTTTTCCATTTATATTTTTACAAAATTTATTCTTTATATTTCTAAATTAATACTAAATTTCTAAATCTATAAAAAATTTAAGATAATTTTATTTAATACTTAATTATAAATTTAAAAATATTTATTATTTATTTCCTTCGTCTCTAAATCTCCTTCAATATAATATATATTTACTAACAATAAAAAAAAATTAGATATCAATATGAACATATACACGAATTTAAAACTATTAAAATATTAAAATAGCGTTGTTTGATCCGAAAACAACTACTTTAGTTCTCTGCATTTTGCCCGCAATACTCATTCACTGTTTCTCCTATGCAAATATTCAAACCCCGTTTGAACAGTCTTGATTTTTCTCAATCAAGTGTGATCATTGAATTCAACAACGACCTTTCTCACATTAAACTAAGAATTTTCCTACCTTCCTCATGCACTTGTATTTGAACTCAACTAATCAATCTATACCCAAAATAATTATGTCATCTAACAAAAACATCATAATCGTGTTCCCTGTTGTTGCAATAACATGTGTACAAGTCTTTCTATGGAAATTTGTTGCTATTTTCACGTTTATAACATGCCAAACTGCTTTTTAACACGTGCGTAAAGAAAAAACCAGTGATTGTTTGATGTAATGAAATAAACACACACCGGGAGTATAAGTGAAAATATGTATTACATGAATGAAATATGTTGAAAAATAATATTACGTTCCCCTGATGTTTTCTCTTTCTTTTTCTTTTATTGATAAGATGATATACATTTATATTTATTTAATATATATTACAAGACTAAAATAATTATAAAAAATAAATAAAATTCTATATTCTTTTAAAAAAATAAAAAATATAAAAAGAGAATGTCAAATATTATATATATAAATATCATTTCACTTTTTTTTATTAATTGTTAATAAAACCTACAATTTCTTTTCCCATTTTTTTCTAAATCTTCCAAATCAATTTTTTAATTTCTAAATATTAATAAAAAGAGTCAAATTCCGACCTCTACCCTTCCTTTAATAATTACATTCCCTTAATTCTGTTAGTTTTACTTTTACGTTTCGTTCTGTGTTTTATGCGCATGGGTCTATATACCTATATATATATACCTATATATATATATATATATATATCCACTGCACTTTAGTTTGGAGGTACTTGAATGAAGAGAGAAGTTTTTTCATGCACGTGTTTTCTTCTCAGTTTCGTGGTTTCAAAGTGATATTGTTTACTTTCACGCAATAGACTTCCAAACATTAAAGATGCTTCTGCATAAAGCCTAGTATGGTATCAGAGCGGGTCAATCTCGATCTGCTGTGCCATCTCTGATAATGATTCTTTTCTTGTTTTTCTCCTTGCTTCTTTACGTTCTTGTTTCTCGTTTATCTTTCGTTTCATGGCTGCAGAAAAAAATAGAAAGCATCCAAAATGCTTCACAGAACCCAGCCAGCCCCTTCTACCTTCATCCTGGAGAGAACCCAAGAATGGTTCTTGTGGCACCAGCTCTTAATGGAGCGAATTATCACGGCAGAGGAATGAAGTGAGCTCTGCTTTCAAAGAACAAACTAAAGTTGGATGGAAGGATCAAGACACCAGAAAAAGATCGTGTATGAAGCATGGGAACGGTGCAATTTCATGGTGATATCTTGGATAACACGCACTCTTTCTCCTCAAATAGATCAAAGCATCATATATACATCGAGAACGCCATGGGTCTTTGGGAGGAATTGAGACAACGTTTCTCAAAAAGAGATCATTTTAGAGTCTCCGACCTTCTACAAGATGTGCACTCCATCAAGCAGGGAGAAAGAAATGTTACAAAGTATTATAGCGATATGAAGGTTCTCTAGGGAAGAGTTGGAATCCCTTCGCCCTATACCTTCATGTAGTTGTAAGACTACGTGTCATAAACGTCTTCACAAAATATAGAGACTACGAAAATGTTATATGTTTCTTAAAGGGTTTAGGAGAAGTTTTTTCCATTGTAAGAACTCAAATCCTTATGATGGACCCTTTAATATTAATCATGTTTTTGCCTTGGTCTTGCAACAGGAAAGAAACCTTAATGGGCCAATACAAAATGATGAAAGAGGAAGAGGAAAGAACTTGGGCAAACAATGTTCATTTTGCCATAAAAAGCGGAGGAATGTTATTCGAAACACGGGTATCCACCATGAAAGAAAGAAAAGAACCAACACTCGTCAAATTATTTCTCTGCCAACCATGACTCTGAGAGTGATACAAGCCAAGAACGTGATGCTCCTCAAAACGTTGGCAAGAAATATCAAGATGTTGACGTTTTTCTCCCCTTACCAGATAGAATACTTGACCATCTTGATTCAAACCATCAATGCACAAAGTAAGATAAATCAAATTAAATGTCATTCGGGGGAGTCTCCTAGCTCTAAGACAAAATAAGGTATGTGAATTCTTGACAATGAGGCTACAAATAATGTTACTCACGTTTTTCAGATATTAGTTATCATAAAATAAAGCCTTTACAATGTCTTATACATTCCAGAATTAACATTGAACATTATATCAGCTCAAAAACGTATGCTCACATTGTTTTCTCTCGTGTTTCCTGTCAGATACAGGGCGAGAGATCCTTGAAGATGATTGGTTATGCTGATCTTCAGAATGACTTGTACCAGATTGAGCAATAGGCAGAATTTAGAAAGATTGATATCATACACGTGTAAACAATCTTGAGACAATTAGCATGGGGCAAGAAACAAACCTTTGGCATCAAAGACTTAGGTAAGATCTTCTACAAAATTAGTAGAAACTATAGTGACTCTTATGATAAAACAAATATTTGTGAATATTGTTTGATGGGAAAACAACGTAAGCTTCAATTTCCTAAGAGTTCCTCTCATACCAAAGATATTTTTGATATGGTTCACATGGTCCCATAAACAAACCATCCATACACGGACATAGGTATTTCCTTCCTGTTATTGACGACTACAGTAGGCACACACATGGATTTACCTCGTGAAAAACAAGAGCGAGACTAGAACTCTTATATCCAACTTTTTTTCTTTTATCCATAATCAGTTTAACAAATCTATCAAGATAATTAGAACGGATAATGGACAAGAATTTAACTATAAGAAATTTTACGATATAAATGGGATTTTACATCAGAACACCCGTGTAGATACTCCTAAGCAGAATGCAGGCAGAACGTAAGCACCAACATGTCTCGAATGTATCACGTTGTCTCATGTTTCAATCTAAGTTGCCTGAAGTTTTCTGGTCCTATGTTGTTAATCATGCGACACGCCTAATAAGTAGGTTACCAACTTATGTTTTGAACAATAGAAGCCCTCATGAAGTTTACATGGTACGAAACCTGATATTAATTACTTGAAAGTTTTCGAATGTATCTATTATGTGCATGTAAATGAAAATAAACGAAGTAAGCTTGACCCTCGCTCACATAAATGTATCTTCTTGGATATAAAATTGGTACTAAAGTCTGCTGTAATAATAGTAGATTATTGAAAAAGAAAAACGTTGGATTGCAACGTTTAAAACTTTAATTGTCAATAACATTTAAATTCATTTTATTAAGTGTTTCAATGGTAAAATATTTAATGATTTTTATTGTTTTTTATTAATTTTATTTTTTTCTAGCTCTATAAATAGAGAGTTTTTCCCCATTCAAAAAACACACCAA